AGTCGCGGGCCGTTGCGACAAGAATGTTCCGTCGAAAATGCGTTCGAACAAGTATTGAATCGGTTCAACTTAGGTTCAACTTCAGTTAATCTTCTCGGCAACAATTGCAATGACTTTAAAACAGCTAATCAAGCGGATTTATCAATATATCTTGATTGTCAATATATATTGATTTAATAAAAATCAAAAAAATCATGATTTTTTTGATTAATTTAAATAAATCAGTGATTTTTTATTTTTTTAATAAAAATCAATTTTTGCCCAACACTGTACGTTGAAAATGTTAACTTACCAGTAGATATATTTTGCTATATCATACAACGCTAAGATTCCCAAAACATTAAAAAGCAATGGAATATTCATTAATAAATGCATAAACCTAGGATGTAAGCCGTGTTTCTCTAAATTAGAAGCATTGCTGTTATATTGAATAAAATTAAAAGGAGTCATAACGAAATTGTTAATCGAAATTTCCAGCATGCCTATTTCACCCCAAGTTAGACAACCATAGTAGAACGAATCAATTACCACGTTAAAAATTATAGCTGGCATACTACAGAAAATCAAGCATATTATTCTGGAATGAAATTGTATTATTGAAACATTTTTCCCATCTACGCCACGGTTTATCCAGAAAAATATGGGCATTACAGCAAATCCCATAAATGTAGGTCTATTAAAAACACCCATCACTGTAATAGTGGATATCGCAAAACAGTTTGTATAATTATCGGAGACCAAGTGGAGTTTCAACTTATGAAATTTAACTCTTTCTATTATGTTTTCACTCTTTTCATATCTGTAATTAATATATACTTGCTTACGCTTAAGTTCATTGGAGAAGGTAAGACTTTCACATACAAAATACAATAGCAAAGCAAAAAGTATTAACTCAATACTATTAGAAAATGTTCGAGTGGCATACACTATCATAATATACGAACTGCCAAGCACCAAGAGTCTTGCTGAGTATTTTTCATTATTGTTCAAGCAAATTTTCACTAAACAATAATCAACAACTAATGAAAACAGAGTCATTATTAGGCGAGGAATTATCAAAAGAAAATAAGGGGTCAATACATTTATAGACAAATACTCCATAGCTAAGTTATTAATGTCTCTCAGGAATATGTAACTTAATCCAGTAGTGAAGAAAGGAATGGCAACACCCCTGATGGGATGAGTTGTTTCGAATTCCCAGGGAGGGCTATGGTCGACATCAAAAATTCTTCCTGAAAAGTCGACTTTCAAGAATATACATTGTCTGAACTTGTTTAAATACCTGCTAACACCTCCATTGATTGGAAATATTCATCTGGATGTATGTATCCAAGTTGCGGAATAACTACCAACAAAATTCTGATTGCTGCTAAAACCCAAATTAGCAGATGTGAATTTGAGTGGCTTGACTTTTTGGTTTTATGCATCATTATAGATTTTTTAAAACATGGTAAACTAATAATGTATTTGAAATTTAGCAGATCATTTTAGTGGTTTTTGTAAGAACAGCGGATGTGGTCTTCAAACCGATGTCCAGAGGAACAACTTGCCGTTGATAACAGGTAACTATTTTCCACTATTTAAATCAGGTTACAGTTTGTCTGAAAATATAACAAAAGAAACATATTAATTTACCGAAAGTATCATTCAAATTAAGTCCTTTAAAATATAAAAGCAGATGTAAGCGGTTTTGGGTTAAGGGTTTCGATTATTGCCAAAGAAAGTCTTCGAAATGTTTGCAAGTTTCCTGTTGCTCCAGTAAAAAGTGTGTTCATCTTGCTGAATACACTTTAGCGGTACTATTTCTTGTTTAGACAGTAAAATTACCACGATCGACTCAAATCAGTAATTGTCCAAGAATATTTTTTTCTGGTTAGACCTCATTTCTTAAAACAAATTTTTGAATCTTCAACTTAATCGAGGTAAGCACGGCTAACACTCTAGCAATCAGACTATGAAGGCTTTCACGGACGGTCAGATTACATTTAGGAATGTTTTCCGGGCTTTGAAGCCGTGGTCTATCGGAATTTCTTTCTGACGTTTCGTCCACAACTGCGGTGGACATT